GTCCATTTGCATGGCCTTATTTCAAGAGAAAAATATATAAATCTTCGGACTATATTTGTTAGTTAAAGAATTGATTTTGATATAGTCATAAATTCTCACTAATTGCTGCGGTTATGTAATGTGTAATTAGCACGGTATCCTCTTACTAGTCTTATTGGATTTTCCATGAGAGGCCGACTATTAAACGAGGCGCTGTGACAAACAATACATAATTTAGTCTTGGAAACTATTGACTTGTCAAAAGTCCCACAAATAGATGGAATGACATTACTTTTACAGAGAACATCATAGTATAATTTATACACCGATGTATACATTTTTGTTATCAAATCCTCTTGTTGCAAATTTGTCAAAAAAGTGCATTTGACATTATTTCATCAACAATTCTCTCAGTCTGCAACAATGTATGTGCTGAATAACATTATGGATATCTTAAAACGTCTTCCAAATATATTATTTAATTACACCTTACATAAATATCCATGATTTGACGGAAGCCGGTTAGTGTCAGGGTGTAGTTTGATTTAAAAAGTCTTTATTATATAACGACTTAGCTTACTCGTTATGACTTAACTTACTTGTTGTAATGACGTAGCTCACTCGTTATAACGACTTAGCTTACTCGTTAGCATAACGACTTAACTAACTTGTTGTAATGACTTAGCTAACTCGTTATAACGACTAAGCTTACTCCGAGTCGTTATAACGACTTAACTAACTTGTTGTAATGACTTAGCTAACTTGTTATAACGACCTAGTAACTCGTTATAACGAGTAAGCTAAGTTGTTATAACGAGTTATACGGTTGCCTATAATTGCTTACATCCACTTCATTTGAACTTGGGTGGATAGTTGTCTCATTGGCAATCATAATCATACCACATCTCCTTATTTCTATAGATAGTCAAGTTAACTAGTCGTTATAACCCGACACTAACGGCTTCCGTAGGATTTTCATTGGTTGATGTATTTTCTTTTTCCAGAAGAACTTCGGGATACTAAATGTATCATTTTTTCTATTTTCATAACATCCTTTGATAGCACAGTAATCAATCAAGATGCTTAAAAGCAATTATCCAAAGATTGATAGCAAATTGCCCCTGCACAAAGATGTTTTTCAGTCCTTGTATTTATTGTTTTGTAAAATATTCTATTTGTAGTACACGTAACGTGGACACTTTATGTCCTCAACAGACCTTTCCAGCGCCACTGATGGGTTATACAGTCTTTGAAAAGTTTTTTTAAACACTTTTCTTTAAATGGAAGTCATATTGTTTGTTTGTAGGCATGTACATTGTACAGAAGGATAACGATGGCCAAGATGGGTTTCAACTCACACAGTGGTTCAGAGGGTAGAGTTAAAAAACGTTTACAATGGACAACACACGGTGACTAATTGATGACAAATATAAACTGTTAACAGAGATATGTCTCGCCTATTTGTTATTTTGATAATGCAAATGTTGAAATTAAAATAGCAATTCTTTAACATTGTAAGTTAAGCAAATATTTAAAGTCAATGAACCATGACTGAAGGTACAGGGCTAGACAATCTCCATGGAAAGGAGATGTGCCAATGCTAACACAACTGCATACCAAATACAATTGACTTTTCATAAGTGGTTCCCTTTAAACAAACCTAAACACAAACATTAACTTGTAAACTATGTAAAAGTTTCAAAGTCAATGAACCATAATGAGGGGGTGGTGTTATATAATCTCCATGGAAATGAAACTTGCAAATGCCAATACATTTGCATACCAAATATCATTGACATAACATTAGTGGTTTCCCATAAACTGACCTAATCACAAACTTGTACATGTAAACTAAGCAAAAGTTTCAAAGTCAATAGACCATGACTGAGGGATAAGGACCAAATATTCTCAATGGAAATGAGATGTGCTAATGCTTATACAACTTCATACCAATTATCATTGACCTACCACTAACGGTTCCCCTTAAACTGACCTAATCACAAACTAATACATGAAAACTAAGCAAAAGTTTCAAAGTCAATAGACCATGACTGAGGGGGCAGGGCCAATTAATCTCCATGGAAACGACATGCCAATGCTTATACAACTGCATACCAAATATCATTGACCTACCACTAGTGGTTCCCCATAAACTGACCTGATCACAAACTAATACATGTAAACTAAGCAAAAGTTTCAAAGTCAATAGACCTTGACTGAGGTGGCAGGGTCAAATAATCTCCATGGATATGAGATGTGCCAATGCTAATACAACTGCATACCTAATATCATTGACCTACCACTAGTGGTTCACCATTAATACCCCTAAAACTGTCCTAATCAGAAACGGATACATTGTTGATGCTGTTGCAGCCGCTGAAAACAGCATGCCCGGGTTTGCCTTAGGGACTTGTTTAGGTGAAAGAAAACCTACTTTTTGCTATTTGGGTAGAGTGAGTTAAAAAATAGGATACATTAAAATTGATGATATAATCACATAAGTTGCAGGTGACCATATATAAATTCAATCTATCTGCAAAGTCCTGTCCTTTCCTATTTTAATAAATTTTCACTGAATATATAACTAATTACATTAACAGATTTTAACTCGTCACAAGCTACATAACAAGTTCCACTAGTAATGTTGAAGTACAAGTTACCGCCTATTATTTTTTTTGAAGTTTGTGTTGCTTATGTATTAGTTATCTGTCTTTTATTAAAATAAATGGGGAATGTGTCCCAGGACACAGATGATGCCCCCATTTGCATATCATATATATTTATAAAGGGACATAACTGAAGAACCGTAAAAGTGATGCTACCCAAATTTGTACTTGATCTGAGTTCTGTGGTAATAAGTATTAAGTTTCATAACATTTGGTCGCAGCTAACTTAAGTTAGAGAACAGAAACGAAAAATTCAGTAATTTTTCCATTTGTAAAGGGGCATAACTCTAGAACAGTAAAAGTGACACCACCAAAATTCAAATTTAATCTGTGTTTTGTGTTAATAAGCATTGTGTATAAGTTTCATAACATTTGGTTGCGGCTAACTTAAGTTAAAGAACGGAAACAAAAAATTCAGCAATTTTTCCATTTGTAAAGGGGCACAACTCTAGAACGGTTAAAGTGACGTCACCAAAATTCAAATTTGATCTGTGTTTTGTGGTAATAAGCATTGTGTATAAGTTTCATAACATTTGGTTGTGGCTAACTTAAGTTAGAGAACGGAAACGAAAAATTCAGCAATTTTTCCATTTGAAAAGGGGCATAACTCTGGAACGGTTAAAGTGACGCCACCAAAATTCAAACTTGATCTGTGTTATGTGGTTATAAGCATAGTGTGTAAGTTTCATAACATTTGGTTGAGGCAAACTAAAGTTGGAGAACAGAAAGGAAAAATTCAGCAATTTTTCCATTTGTAAAGGGGCATAACTCTAGAACGGTTTAAGTGACGCCCCCAAAATTCAAACTTGATCTGTGTTTTTTGTTAATAAGCATTGTGTATAAGTTTCATAACATTTGGTCGCAGCTAACTTGTTAGAGAAGGGAAACGAAAAATTCAGCAATTTTTCCATTTGTAAAGAGGCATAACTCTAGAACGGTTAAAGTGACGCCACCAAAATTCAAACTTGATCTGTGTTATGTGGTTATAAGCATCGTGTGTAAGTTTCATAACATTTGGTTGAGGCAAACTAAAGTTGGAGAACAGAAAGGAAAAATTCAGCAATTTTTCCATTTGTAAAGGGAATAACTCTAGAACGGTTTAAGTGACGCCCCCAAAATTCAAACTTGATCTGTGTTTTTTGTTAATAAGCATTGTGTATAAGTTTCATAACATTTGGTCGCAGCTAACTTGTTAGAGAAGGGAAACGAAAAATTCAGCAATTTTTCCATTTGTAAAGAGGCATAACTCTAGAACGCTTAAAGTGACGCCACCAAAATTCAAACTTGATCTTTGTTTTGTGGTAATCAGCATTTTGTATAAGTTTCATAACATTTGGTTGAGGCAAACTAAAGTTAGAGAACAGAAACCAACTTTGGGACGTACGTACGGACAGACAAGGGTAAAACTTTATGCCCCCTCCGCTATGGCGGGGGCATAACCTATTCTTGCGTTGAAGCTGACTTTGAGATTTTTTTTTTTATTGAAAATATTCACATTCAGTGAGCTTGAGAATTTGCCTGTACCTATGGTTTATAAATTTGTTAATGTGAATATGTCTTTGGGTTCCACAAGAGAAATCTGCCAGTTGGTTAGTGAATTATTACCAACAGGTGTAACTAGCATAGTAAAAAGTACTTTTCATCCTAACCATCCATTTTTTAGTGGAATTAATGGTTCTCAATCTTTAGTTTTCTATGTAGTGTTTTGTGGATGTTTTGCCATTTTTATCTGATTACATTCTATCTATCCCTTTTTACAAAAGATTTTTCATTTCCCCCTTGGCATCTTCTTATTTTTCCTTTTTAAAATTAAAATGTCTTTTTTACTCTGTGTGTAGAGAAGAGTATCCAAGGTTTTTGATGGATGGATGGCTGTTTAATGTCCAGTGGTATATCAAATTCATGTTCAGGACAAGGACATGATTATGTGATATGAGTATAAAACCCTGCATTGTACTAGACTAACAAGCTGATCCGGATTTTTAATGTGCAAGTTCTCAAGGTAATAGTCCACAGGAAGACATGTCACCCTACCCGGACACATTATTCTGACTCAGAGCAAACAAGTCTTTGCTCTTACTCCTAAATGCTGTGTGCTTAGCAGAGAAGCAGCAAATACCAATTTTCAAGTCTTTGGTTTGACAAGGCTGGGGTTAAAACCCACCACGTCCCAAACCTGAGGCAAACACACTACCATAAGACCACAGAGGCCGTCCAATCTTTTTTGAAAAACATAACTTTAAAGCTCTATTCACACAAAAAAACTTACAACTAAAATTAAGAGCAAGTTACACTTAGACCTTTAAAACTTTAACCAGTTGGTGGCCTTTAATAAAAAAAAAAGAAAGAAGTATATATAAATCTATAAATTGTTATGAACAATACATATTTAATATTTCAAATTTGAAATAAGACAATTTGATTATTATACAGATCCTCTGTCTATGCTTCAATAACAAGGATCAGACAATGCGATGTATCACTTTATGTTTTAGTAATCATTGCATCAACCAATGAAAATACACCATCAAAATTTTTGAAGGTAATTAACATTAAAGCAAATCCTGAAGATCCTGAAAAGGTCTTTAGAATCGAATTTAAACAGAATGCCGTCAGATGATTGTTAATGTAATGTGGACACAGGATCAGTATTCCAATCAAATTGGCAATACAATGTAGACATTTTTTTGTATGACTTGAAAAGGTAAAAACAATGCAGTCACAAGGAAATTATTCATTGGCAATATTGAAGGTTCTAAAATAAATTAAAACATTTCTGAAATAAACATTGAATTCCTGCTACATCATATTTTATTTGTATTCGAAGATACTTAAAAAAAAGGAACGAAATGAGGAAAAAATCTTCAGGCAGATTTTAGCAAAAAGAGTTTTTATAATAGAAAAAAGCTGGAGAAAAAACTTCTTATACTTACATGACTTAAAGGACAATTTGAATTCTGAATTGAAAGTTACGTTATCTCATCTTGAGGTGTTAAAGATTGTTTGTGTTTTTTAAAATATTTTTGTGAAGTTTTCCTACAAAGATGTTAAAACTTTTAATTTTTACATCTTGTACATAGTTACAAAAAATGTGCCTAAAGTATCATTAATATCCACATTTGGATGCAGAATACTTTTTAAAATAATTAACTACTATCAACCCAACTCCATAATGAAATTTAAACAATTTTTCAGTCACCAAAAAATTAAATTTGAATTAAAATATCTCCCCTAAAATGATCGGTCTATTGCATAGAATTTCAGAAGATTTACAATCTAGTAATCAGAGATCTGTCTTAAACTTTCTGTTCGATATGACATTACTTAAGTGACAAAAACACTTAGTTTCAATGAGACAAATTTTTTTTTATAAATATGATTTTGACCATTTATTTCAAATATAAAGTTCAATATAAGTAATTATAAACTAAGACAATAATTAATTTGATAGTTTAAAAAAGAACATTTTATTTGCTTTTTCTCATAGTCTAATTTTTAAACGATTGCTGCAAATAAAGTTTGACCTTCATTCTATAACAAGAATTGCAACTCAAACTGTCTTTACTTTGGATTCATTATTATTATTGGAGTACTAGTAATTTCATGGATTTTTTTGGTATAGGTGAACAATTTAAAAATTTAACAAATGCAAATCTTTATAGGCTTGCATACGGTTTGTTTAAAGAGAGGCAGAAGGATCTTTTTCAGGACGTCAGGATTGTGATTATATTTTTGCCAGAATTCGGGATTGGGCCTTTATACATGTAGTTGCAGGAATTCGGGATGTACACCTACTATGACTTAAGAATTAATGATTTATTTTTTCGGGATTCGGGAAAGAATTAATTTTTTCAGGAATTCAGGACACCACCACCTCCTTCCTTAAACCATGAAAGCAAGTACACATGAAAATATCCATGACAATTTGTACCCACAAATATATATGAATCCAGAGTATTATACTTATTAATAAATGAAGCTGATAATTATCACACAGTGATAGCTTTTGTTGCAGTTTTGTTGATATGACAAAGATGAAGCAACAAAAGCAGGAAATGTAAAAGATTTTTTAAACAATAAACACTAGAAAACAATGATTATAGTACAATGCCATTATACTGTGAAATGATCATACACCATGTCATATATTGTTAGATTGAGGTAATGGATCACTGTGTGTGTTATCTGATTGTACTTTTTCAAGTCTTTCAGGTTCCTCTAATTCTTCATAGCTTTGATGCATCCCACTACATGATTTTTGCAATGTTTTTGTCTTGTGTTGAGAGTCATATTTTAAAACCATTCCATTTGAGGTGTTTAGATCTGCTTTACAAGATAAGTGTGTCTGTTCATGGAAAACACCATTCACCGGGTTATTAATGTCTTTTGTTTCATTGTTAACTGAGCCATTACATATATCACTATCATCCCCATTGACTAGGTGTAATTTCGAATCTTCTTTTTCACCATTTACAGAATGGAGGGTTTTGGAATCATTCCTTTCATCACCATTGATGAGGTGCAATTCTGAATCTTCTTTTTCCCCATTTACAGAAGGGAGAATGTTGGAATCATTCCTTTCATTACCATGGACTAGGTTTGATTCCGAATCATTCATTTCATCATCAATGACACTTTCATCATCTGATGTAGAAGAGATTGATGATACATCAGAGTCAGAATCATCCTCCATATCAGAATACACTTCTGCTCCAGAAAATACATATCTACTAGGCGGAAGAAATAAGTACTGTTTGCCTGAAAAAATAAGTAGAATTTGTAGTATAATAATATCAAAGAATACAAGAACAGTCATTTAAACAGGATATCTGCTGGATTTGTAATTCTATTTTGCATTTTACAGTCAAAACTTCTGAACTAAGTTGCTTATAGTTTTATATCCAGTGAAAAAAATAATTTCTATATCTTTTAAATTTTAAAAATAAAATACAAAATCTTTTTGAATTTCTATTTTTGAAAAATCCTTTCATCATGTTCATTAGAAAAAAATCTACCGAATTCAGTCGTGTATTTTCTGCACTTTTTTTCTCTATAATTAAGATTGCCAGGCTGGGGTGCAGATTATAGAGTACTATAAGCAAGAAAGAGGAGAAAAACTGATTCCGCGATGTTTGTTATTGAAATTGTAGAGGGCGCCCTTATTTCTTTTCAAAATTACTTATTTATTTCTCATTTCTTTTCAATGCATTGCATAACTTTAACTGGAATACACTTGTTAACAACACTTCCATAAAAGTAAAAAAGTCAGCTGGGAACCAGCTAAACATAACAATGTGTAACTAGAAAATGTAATCGGTTATTCTTTCCATTTTGATGTTTCAAACAGCTGCATGTGTTAAATTTTAGCTAAAGAATGTGATGAATATATCTGACAGTATTTCACTAAGAACGGAAATGTTTTAGTTTCAAAGTCGAATCATTTAGTGATATCTATATTACGTAATTACGGCTTATACGCACACTATCACCATATTTGTTTGCAATTTACATGTTCTATTCTGATATCCGGTTAATGTCAACTGTAACTTTTACAATTGTTTTTCTTGTGATTTTGGCTTATTTCAACACTCGTGAAGAGTCTACAATCATTTTCAAATTTTAATTGATAATTGAAAATGGTGAATTTTTCTCTAAGAATTAATATGGAGAAAATTTCCGTATCCAGTATGTGTGCTTGTTGACAATGCCCAATCAATGAGAATGCAAAGTGAATAAGATCTACCTATCTTTATTGAGGAATAATTTCATTGTCAAACAATTGATCATTTCAGTCATTTTACCTTCTAATTTTTTAGCAAGACTGCCATGATGACCTGGTTTCCACATTCTCCTTACCTTCTAATCTTTTAGCAAGACTGCCATGATGACCAGGTTTCGACATACTCCTTACCTTCTAATCTTTTAGCAAGACTGCTATGATGACATGGTTTCCACATACTCCTTACCTTCTAATCTTTTAGTAAGACTGCCATAATGACATGGTTTCTACATACTCCTTACCTTCTAATCTTTTAGCAAGACTGCCATGATGATCAGGTTTCGACATACTCCTTACCTTCTAATCTTTTAGCAAGACTGCCATGATGACCAGGTTTCGACATACTCCTTACCTTCTAATCTTTTAGCAAGACTGCTATGATGACATGGTTTCCACATACTCCTTACCTTCTAATCTTTTAGTAAGACTGCCATAATGACATGGTTTCTACATACTCCTTACCTTCTAATCTTTTAGCAAGACTGCCATGATGATCAGGTTTCGACATACTCCTTACCTTCTAATCTTTTAGCAAGACTGCCATGATGACCTGGTTTCCACATACTCCTTATCTCAAAGTCATCATCATCTCCATCTTTGGAATCATCAGACAACAGCAAATCATTCTTGTTACTATCCACTGGTAATGCTGAATTATTCTTTGATTCACCAGATACACAACTGTCTTTTCCATCTAGTTTAGAATTTTCAAGAGTGTTTTTCGTTCCAGATTCATTGTCTAAAGATTGGTCTTGACTATCTGTTTCAGTTATTTTGGAACTGGTCTCCAAAGTTATTTTTACATTTTCACTAGTTTGACCATCTGTTACCTTATCATTTTGTGATATAATAACTGGACTAGAATCTGATTTATTTACAACAGTACAGCTTTTACTATGATCAACACTGACTGGAATCTGTGGCTTTTTGTTATCTTTTAAGCAGATATTTTCATCTCTCTCATCACAAACTTTGACATCCTCTGAGTTGGAAACTTTCTTGTCTGTCTTTTGATCACAGCTACACTCATCTGTTTTATCTTCTACACTTTGACTTTCAAGTGACCCCTGACATTTAACATCATTATCACTACCACTCTCATCAATGTCTGATGCTGTTGGTGTTTTCAATTCACATTTTGATATTTCATGAAGTAAGGGTGATCGTGATTTGTTGTCCCAATTTAAATGTTTACACAGTTCCTCCACAATAGCATCACAATCACCGAGTAATTCAACATCAAAGTTTAAATGTTTCAGAGGTTCTCTATTGATAAGAATCTGAGGTACATCTTCAGGCAGTGAATCTGAAATACATAGTGTTACATATATAAACCTTTTGTAAAGGTTTAGTAATATATGCACCAGGTAGTGAAATATATATAAAACTCATATACTACAACTGTATACATGTAATGTCATAGAATACAGCATACAGGTTTACATCAGCAGGTTATGCTCTCTGAACTAAATTTTATAAACTGTGAGCATTTTTTGATACAGTATTTGTTAATTCTTATTTAGTTTGTTTGGTATGTTTTTCGTCTCTTGTACTGTTAGTATAGAGTTATTAAGTGCTTTTCTTGTGTACTGACTTTTGTTGTATGTTTTGTTCTGCATCTTTTTTTAGTATGCAGCTTGAAATTAAAAATGCAGGAGAGTTGAGATCAATAGTTCATACATCAAAGTTTAACTTAATTAACATAACTCCCCATTTCCTGTTTTCTTCCATAAACATCCTGGAAAAATTAACTCTAGTTGTCATTTGACTTACTTGGTATAAGTGCCACTGGTCTCACTTTTAGAGATGATCCAATCACAATAAGTAAATCACATTTGTCTTTGTCCTCTGTCATTTGTTTGTGGAATTCATCAGACAAACTTTCACCAAAAAACACTATGTCTGGCTTCATTATTGACATTGGACTGTCTGGAGGGCACACTGGACACTTAGGTATAACCTTAACAATAGAAATGATATAGTGGAAAAGTTATCTTCTTTCGGCAAAATTGACATTAGATGGTTTTGGCTATCTTTTATATGTCCCTTTATATCATTTAACTCTTTTTCTAGTAATCATACATCCTTGGGTTTAAAATTTTGGGGGTTTTAATGTTTCTGATGAAGACAAATCCAGAAAATTGCTACTGACACATTTTAAAAATATACATGATATCGGAGGAATCTCATAAAAATTAAAATAAAAACTTCAAAGCTTTTATTAAGGAGTCCTGTATTTATCATTTTGCATATTTTTTATGGTCAAATGTGCACTGTTAAAGCATTCTTCTCTATATTCAAGATGTTAATTAGGCATACATGTATCATTGAATAACTCCTCTATTATCATTTTTACAACAAATCAGGATCTGATTGGTCTCAGTCTGGAAAAAAATCAGAATTAAGAATTGGTGACCATTTTCATCTGATTGCAACAAAATTACGAACTTAAATTTACATCATGCCTCCATGGTAATTTGCCTACTCTTCATCAGAAATTTTTCATTATATATATATATAGACCTGATATTTTCAAATACATGTAGCAACATAGAATTTGAAAAGGGCAGTTTTCCAAAATTGTTGCCCAAACTTTGTAATGTATTCTATTATAATGTGAAAGGAATAGGGGAGAACACTGTAAAAATATACATATTATATGGTAAAATTCTTCAGCATTCAGTGTTTCCTATACAAATAATAATCTGAGACAACATTGTTGAGTGTACAACAGAATTTTCATTTTTTAATTAGTTTTCCATACAGACAATTATCTGACAGGCTTATTTGAGTGCACAACAGTCTGAATTTCGCATGTATTTAAATATGTATTTTTCAAATTAAAAGGAGCATTCATAGTCCTTACCACAAAGAATTTATCATAGTGGAGCATTAATAGTCCTTACCACAAAAAATTTATGAATTAAACCTATCTGTAAATAAGATGATTGAAATAACACTTGGGATTGTTTTTTCGGAACTGAATATAACACTTTTAACTTTCAGTGTTTGATGTAGAATCTGAAGACAGTGTGTGTGATGCAGTGCAGAAAAAAACAACATAAAACTTTTCTTTCCAAATATATTTTAAAAAAATATTAGTCTATTTACCCGTCTTAGAAATAGCTTTTATCACCTGTATTTTAGGTATATAAACTTTTCTGTTTTATTATTTAAAAGCTGATTATGAATTTCTTGTTTAACAAAAGTGTGTTTAATTTTCTTTCCAAGTTTGTAAGATCATTTGCTCAAGTATTTCAACTAAGATATTTGATATCTTGGTTACATTTAAAGAAACATCTCCATTTAATCATAATTATTCTTGATTTGAGAAACTAATTGAGTATCACTTGGTCAAGTTTGCCTGTAATTTACAAATTTACATGATTTAGTTACACTTTTAAAATCTACCCACCTGATTAAATATATCTTCTCTAACACCTTCTGCACTAACTTTGTGTTTACATGTCATGCAAGTGGCTGTAGCAAAAGAACCTGGAACATAATAAAACTTTGTTTTAATGATGAACATGCTCCTATTTCTAAGTTAGCATACATGACTTCTATTGCAAATTCACAAATTATTGCGTGCATTTATTATTAAGATTGTTGAAGAATGGACACAAACCTGAGATAAATTATTGCGATTTTAGGAAAAGCAGACACAATGTAGATACTGTAAATTCAGAAATTATTGCAAGGTTTTTATTATTGCGAATAATGCGAATGGGTGAGTATCGCAATAATAAGAACTGGCATTCTGATATCTGATACAAATATCTGTTTGCAGATTTTCTTGAAATCGCAATAATTAATCTCGCATTTTTGTCTATTCTTCAATAATCGCAATAATGAATGCACGCAATAATTTCTGAATTTACAGTACTTGAAACCATATTTCCTAGGTACACACAAGTTATGATATGACTGCCCACTAGAGAGTGAAAATGAAGTCGCAGTCAAATGAGATATATCAACCATGCTACATGTACACCAAATAATGTTGACTTGCCATAAATATGTACTAAGGAATAGACATAATCCAGAAAAACTTAAACTAACCACTGAAGCATAAAAATGAGGTTAAGATCATGGAACCTATGATGGTCAGATGGAAATACTAATTACAACAAATCTACAGGCTGTAAATATTTTTGATCTATCATGCATGAGAAAATGGGCTTTTTGCCTGAAACCTGACAATTCTCAAGTTATAATTAAGATCAAAGGCTATTATCCACATGCCAGATAAACATACTATCTTTGTATCTAATACACATATCAAATACTGTTGACCTATCAAGTGTATCATGCATAGTTAACAAGGAAAAGACATAAACCCGAAAAACTTATCTGACCACCGAAGCATGACATTAAAGTCCAGATCATATAACAAATGTCAATAAAATGCTCCACTGGGCGCAGCTTGATACAACCACAGAGGTCGAACCCTGAACAGTTGGGGCAAGTATAGACACAACATTCAAGCTTGATACAGCTCTGAATTTGGATTGCGATTAAATATTTGACACAGCATAGGTTTCTGACACAGAATGAATGTGGTCTAAGAACTTAAAAAAAATTAATTTACCTATTATGGTCCAATATCCAAAATCTAAATACATGGTAAGATTCAGCATATCAAAGAATCCAAAGAATTCAATTGTTGATGAAATCAAACAAAGTTTAATTTTGAACCCTTTTGACCTCAATGTGGACCAATTTGATAACGGGGCCCAAAAATCAAAAATCTGAATACATGGTTAGATTCAGCATATCAAAGGACCCCATATATTCAATTTTTGTTGAAATCATACAAAGTTTAATTTTGGACCCCAATTTGGACCAACTTGAAAACTGGGCCCATAATCAAAAATCTAAACATGTTTAGATTCAGCATATCAAAGAACCCCAAATATTCAATTTTTGTTAAAATCAATCTAAGTTAAATTTTGGACCCTTTGGACCTTTATGTAGACCAATTTAAAAAACGGGACCCAATATTAAAAATCTAAATACACGGTTAGATTTGGCATATCAAAGAACCCCAATAATTCAATTTTTGATGAAATCAAACAAAAAGTTTAATTTTGGACCCTTTTGACCTCAATATGAACCAATTTGATAGCGTGGCCCACAAATAAAAAATCTAAATACATGGTTAGATTCAGCATATCAAAGAACCCCATATATTCAATTTTTGTTGAAATCAAACAAAGTTTAATTTTGGACCCCAATTTGGACCAACTTGAAAACTTGAAAATCCCCCCCAAAATTTTTTGAACCCCCTTATGATTCATCACTCCCAAACTCAATCCCAGCCTTACCTTTGTGGTAATGTACCTTGCAGTACAATTTCAGAGAGATCCATACACTTGAACACAAGTTATTGTCTGGAAACTATAAAAATGCTTGTTTTTTTGCCCCTAATTCCTAAACGTTTAAGGGCAATTACCCCCAAACTCAAACCCAGCTTTCCCTTTGTGATATGGAACTTTGTAGTACAATTTCATAAAGATCCATACACTTACACACAAGTTATTGTCCTGAAACTAGAAAAATGCTTGTTTTTTGCCCCTTTTTGGCCACTAATTCCTAGAATTTTGAGGCAATTACCCCCAAAATCAATCCCAGCATTCCCTTTGTGGTATGGTACCTTGCAGTACAATTTCAGAGAGATCCATACACTTGAACACAAGTTATGTTCCGGAAACTAGAAAAATGCTTATTTTTGGCCCCTGATTCCTAAATGTTTTGGGCAATTACCCCCAAACTCAATTCCAGCTTTCCCTTTGTGATATGGAACCTTGTAGTACAATTTCAGAAAGATCCATACACTTACACACAAGTTATTGTCATGAAACTAGAAAAATGCTTGTTTTTGCCCCTAATTCCTAAAATTTTGAGGCAATTACCCCCAAAATCAATCCCAGCATTCCCTTTGTGATATGGAACCTTGTGGTATAATGTGACAGAGATTCATACACTAACAAATAAGTTATTGTCTGGAAGTTACAAAAATGCTTATTTTTGGCCCCTAATTCCTTAACTGTTGGTACCATAACCCCCAATATCAATCCCAACCTTCCTTTTGTGGTATTGAACCTTATGGTAAAATTTCATAGAGATCCATTCACTTAAACTAAAGTTAATGTGCGAAAACCAATGCGTCTTTGGACGACGACGACGCCAACATCATACCAATATACGACCGCAAAATAAAAACTGCTGTTCAAGCTAAAATCTCTCAAAAGGAACAACTATTACAGCACCTGAATTCCAACAAACAGAAATTCTCATCTTCCTCCAGTGGGGAAAACTGTTTGTGCTATTCTGATTTCTATCATTAAAAAAATAATTCTTTCAAATAACCTACCATGACATTGAATAACTTTAGTAATACCAGCAACTTGTTCCAATGTGTCAATATTCTGTGTGTAGTTTCTCAACAATTTACCATGTTTCTCTATTGTATTTATAAACTTGTGTGAACGTGATGGTTCAAATTGCCCTGGATATATTTCCTGCAAAAAAAATAAAACTCAAACATTAGGTATACAATTGGATCCAAATTGATGATAGCACTTGCTTGTTTGAAGGGATTTAAATGTAACTTTCTTCACATTTAGTATTACTTTATAGTTGTCTGTTTTAATGGTGGAGTAAACATGGTTGCTCAGGGACGTTAACCACCTTCAATAAGTAACCAACAACTGCTATAACATAAAATACAGCTCACATGAATTTGTCACTTCCCTTGATGCTCTAAATATTACCTTGAATACATTTTGTTATTAGTCTTAAAGGTTAATAACAGGATTGAACAAAAATGTCCAGCTGGCTCAATTCTAATTTAGAAGCCCTGCATAGATGTGGCCACAGTGCTCCAATTAATTCCATAACTTCATTGAGTGTCTGAGTCTGTTTTTATGTCTACTTCACAGAGTTCTCCAAATCTTTTTTTGCCTAGTGGTCCTTGAAGAAAATATGAAGGTCCTCACTATCATTTCTATTGCAAATTACCAAACTTGTGTTGGTCCTTCCCAAAAATGTGGTGGTCAAATCCCTAGGACCACCACTTATCGAGAACTCTGACTTCATTGCTAATTCAATTACTTTTCTCAACTGTCAAATCTTTACTAATTTCATGTATATAAATTTGACTAAATTATATAAAATTATATATATATATATAGTTATCTACTGACAAGAATTTACCTTTGCAAATTTGAAGAAAGGTCTTGGGTCATTTCTGAAGTAGTTGATATCAAACATGGCTTGTGGATCAGGTAAATCTGGAAAGTCTACAGCAAGGCGAGCATAAATTCCATCTCTAGATCGGAAATCAGGGATACCACAGGAAACAGATACCTATAAATGTTCACAATATTACCCTCATAAAACTTTTTTTCACTTGAATATAAATTCTACCCAAATAACTGTACACAGAGCAACCATGACTATTTCATGATAGTGGAGTATATAGAAGAAAACAACGTTGAAACATTGTATTGTGCACACTATTGTGTAACAATTAGCTAGTTAGGTCTTTTTTAAGTTTTTAAAATACATGTTAAGAAGCAGCACTGGCAGATCTCACCAATATATACATGTATGCAACTATCCTGAGCAATCATTTTTTTGTCCAGATGAATCTTAAAGGTGTTCATAAGCTTCATTAGTATATGCAAATTTACATATAATTTATTTCTTTTAGAATTATTCTTAAAGCACATGTACATGGGTGTTGAATACAAAATGTTGACCTTTTTACATAGACTTAAATGCATATTCTCTGAAAAAGGCTGCAAGGTACATCATATTTGTTATAGCTTCCTGTGCTTAAAAAATATTTGCTGAAATATTTACATATATAGATATTGCTAAAGTCTACCACAATAACCTTAACACTTTTTGTTTTATAGCATGTAGAAATAAAGTCTATTATGGAGAATATACACATAAACATCACTGTAAAATGCTAATTGCTTACTTTTGTATGTGATATTTTTGAAATAACTTTTACATAAAAGTTCATATAATTGTAGTGTTTATACCTACAGTCAGCAATTTGTACATGTATCACATCACACTGTATCACGGAGACATGTAAAGAATGAAGTCTCAGTTATTATATTCATGTTTAATGAAATTGACACCTCCTCTTATTTGCACCATTATAGTTTGACAGGTCTGAAGAATTTCATGCTTTAATAGAACACCCAAGCTTAAGTTAAAACTTTTATATTTTGACAGTTCAGAAGATTTTAAAAGAGACTTTCTCAAGCTCTAGTTAAAGCCATTATATTTTCATGTTCTAAAGAAGTTCATGTTTAAAAAAACTTACAACAGCTCCAGTAAGTAACATTATATTTTGACAGTTCAGAAGATTTAAGAGACTTTCTCAAGCTCTAGTTAGAACCAATATATTTGGGCGATCTATAGAAGTTCATGTTAAAGAAACTTACCCCAGCTCCAGTAAGTACCATTATATTTTTACAGTTCTGAAGTAGTTGTATGACATCTTGCAGTGTGTTGATATGGCTAAGTTTCTTTCTTGGAGGTGGCTCCGACATTATATTAATGACTATCTTCCATAAAGTAAAATCATCAATGTCATTTGGGATTAGAGTATCATCAGGTATCAACCCATTTAGTATTGGGCGAGGGTTTACTCCATTCATTATCTGTTTGTGAATCCATGTCATAGCACCTGTTTTTCAATTAAAAATCAATAAATACTTGTAGGTTATTATAGAATAAAAATGTGCAATGTGATGAAATAACAATAAATCCTTGTAGTCTCACCCATCAAAGTACTTCTCATTCATGTTCTCAATATATACACAAACAAAACATTGTACATACACACATAAAAGAATGTAAATGGAAACATATATAAACTTTTTAAGGATTAATTAACTGTTGTTATTTTATATGCATCAGGATTGAAAAAAAAGGGACAATCTCTGACATTAAATATAAAAACTTCAGAGTAGTACAAATGTAATGTTCACAAGGTGCCATTATGTTACCATAGACAAAGAATAGTCAGTCCAATAACTCCATCCAGAATTGTCATATCAAAACAGTGGTATCGATGTAGTTTTGTTGGTTTCTTGTTAAAGTTAAAATAGATTTATTAATAAATGCTAATAACTCAGCATTGAATATTTGTACTATAATTTGTTTCAGTCCAACAGTTAAGACCCATGCAATTAAATATATTAAAGGAAAATCTGTTAAGCTATGCAGAATGTTAGCAGTATCAGCTTTGAAATTGATGTCAAACCTAATACCTCTTAGAGGAATAGTTTAAGGTTCCTTGCAATAACTCTCTGAAGAGTAAATTAACTGGAATTAAAAAGTTATTAAATGTAAAAAAAACCAACCAACCTGAGGTAGGTTTCCATGCTTCTTCAGATAGTCCTGACAGATTACTGATCTCGCTACAATTGTCAGAGTTGTCTGGTAGTGTTTCTGTCTCATGAACTTGCTGTAAACAAACATGTACAATAAATAAGGCACTTTGAATTGAATCATTTCACTAAGTTTACACCGGAACATGTACATTGTATCTCTGTTTTTAGGAATCTGACATAGTTGATAAGTTCATTACTGTTTGTTTCTTTCTATCAATTACGTTTTCATATAAATGAAACTTCGGTATACATTGCAAATTGTGTGCTCGTACTAAAAAAATAGGAAATGGCAAATGCTGACTAACCATTTCTGTTGGTATGAATCAATTCTGATGATCTTTAATCAGTTTAGTAATGACCCATCAAATAAGCAGATTACCAGTTACAACAAATTATGACACCTGTTGTGACCACTACCCGGTAATTAGCTTGGGTCATAAACTTGTCATCAGGGTAAAATTACTTTTTTACTTTTACAAATTTTAAGTGACGATCGATTTTATTACCATATAACATTCAAGATATTAAAATTTTGACACGGGAAAATGTTGGTGCCAGAAAAATTGTCATCAGCATTATTTTTCACCAGATGAAATAAAAAAAATGCAATTTGCAGCATGGTCCTTGTTAGTAGTAATGGCTTTGAAGTAGCTTTCAGTAACTGCTGGTACTCTTATTTCTGTGTGTTGTGGCTTTGTGTTTTTTGTGCCTCGTACCGATCTTTTGGGTTAAGCCAATTGCAACTGACTTTTACACCACTGTCCCAGGTTAGGTGAGGGTTGCTAACATGTTTAACCCCGACACATCCATTATGTGTCTGTCCCAAGTCAGGAGTCTGTAGTTCAGTGGTTGAAATTGGTTCATGTCATGTTTTTTGTATTTGTTTTGTTATTAATAAGGCCGTTCATTTTTTCGTTTGAATTGTTTGATATTTTTCATGTTTGGGCCTTTTATGGCTGACTAGAGAGTATAGGTTTTTTTCATTGTTGAAGGCTGTAGAGTGGCTTATTATTGCTTACAACCACTTCATTTTTACTCTGGATAGTTGTCTCATTGGCAATCATATACATGTACCACATCTCCTTATTTTTATATAAAATCAATGTTAACAAAATGTATTAGCTTACTTCAGTATTCCCAGCATCATTATCTTTTGATATGTTAGAACATCCTTGTTCATCTGAAAATATATAAATACAACTTTAAATTTTGTTTACAAGAAACTTTTCACTTCAAGTACATGTAGATCATATGAAAAATGTAATGACACAACTTAAAAATATAATATAACACTAACAGGGATGGAAATGACCTCCAAAGGCTTACATTTTTAGTACATGTATGTAGCTTACTGGGCCTCTAACATTAAAAAGTGTTATGACTCAGGTTAATTTAAAGCCCTCATATCAGCCCTAAAAGTAACCAGACCAGCACATGGAACTTAGCGCTATCTCCCTGTTGAATAAAAGCCAGGAGTGGTTTAAGACAATATATTTTATACATATACACATTTGAATTTTTCAAATAGGTCACATGACTTTAAGTGTAAATTTATTTATAGTCCTTTCACTATGCTAAAAGGTCTGTATATTTTTTATCCACTTAAACCCTCGTTTTTCATACATTTGTACTTGTTCATTTAGCTACAAAATGTAAGCAGACCATAAAACAAGATTAAATAGTTGTTGTTGTTCCAAATTATATGCAGTTTCAGGTAAGGGAATCTTATTAGTAGCTGTACTGTATTATAAGGTTTGTTATCGTGTTATAGTTATATAATTTATGACATACAGCATGTACAGTCTAGATAGGCAAAAAAGGGGTTGGTGGTTGTGCACACATAGAACTACTTAAACCCAATACATTCTTTTGCCTATACCAAGTCTTGCTTACTGGACCATTGCAAAGATTCTGTTTGAACCCTCCTTGACACAATCATAGACACACATGAAGGGGAGGGGGTCAAAAGGAAGTATTTCTGGACCAGGTATTTAGTGATGCTCATACACCTTATCGCTATTTGGAAATCTGCGCCGGTTGACCAAAGAATCTGCGCCACTTGAACTATTGACATCATACAACAATCACTTTTCCATTGTGAGGTCAGATATTTTGTATTATGACGTCAAAATTTGACAGGACCTTTGTGATGTCCAGTAATGGCAGACAAATAGCGATAAGGTGTATTGTTGTTTGTATGTCTGTTTTTCTTTATTTCTAGCATGAGTAACAATTTTTTGGCATTACAAATGTATATGAAAAATCAGAAATACAGTCCGCAGATGATTGACAGTATTTATTAGAGCTTTAGTGTTGAAAAAGAAATAAAATTCAAACTGAAAACAAAGTGAAAGTAGCAAACTGTTGTAGAGTTATCCCCCTTATTCTATTAAGCCAGATTGGATTACAGCCCTTTGATATATATAATTTGCAATATGTTTTTTTTTCCAGACAGGCAAGACAAAAAGCCTTAATAAATCTTTCACTGTGAAGTTACACTGTTTGTTTAACACCTTCCATGGATAAAAAATGTTTTCTTTGTTTAAAAGCAGTAAAAATCTAATAATAGGAATGAATCATCAAGACAAGGGAGGTAAGTTTCGGTACTTCTCAGATTTCAATAATAAATATATCATATCCCGCTTATATATAACAAATTTTCAATACATTCATTGATGTTTTATTGTATTACATGTATACCTGAATCATTATTATCCTCCTCGTTGAGTTTTTGACGTTTGAAAGGTGGTTCATTTTTTAGGGGTTGGGCCGCCATTTTCCTCGGTATCTCTGCGCTTTCCATCGACGCAACTTCCGGTTTCTAATTATAAATAAACATCATGCTGAACTTGTGAAGGAGAGTTTTCCTAAACTCAGTGTTAGTTAAATTGTAAATGGAGGCTATATTTAGCTATCAACCTGACGAGGAAGAGGATTTCTATAAAATCCTTGGCTGTAACGAACATTCGAACGTAATTCATTGACTATTTTCTACAAGTCATAGAAACTGATGCAATTTATTTTCTAAATTACCTACTTTCTCTTTGTAACAGTCCTATATATTTATTAAGTAATGGGTTTTCTTCTTCTGGTATACAGTTACAGCTTCATTTATATTGAAGATTACGAACTGTTGCATGCGCGGAGTATATGATTAAAATTTGTATATGAACAAAAATTTATCTTTAAATTTGTAGAATACTTGGTGATATTTACATGAAACAAAGACAACAAGTGATTAAAAATATGTACATTGGTATTTATAGAATTAATTTATGTTGTGGAGAACAGTTGGTGTCAACTGATCTCTATAGGTTTCAATTGTTTGACATGCTACTACAACTTGTGGTAACATGTTCCTTTGGATGATTGTTTGCGGAAAAAATGACCATTTGTAACTGTCTTTAGAGGTGGATATTTGCCGAAATGTTTGGGTATGTAATTTTCTTGTTCTAGTATCTGATGGTATAAGGACTAGTGATGGAATTGCGATGAGTCCATGTATGACTTTATAGAACATGATTAGTCTGGTTTTGAGGCGACGCTCAGTGAGTGAGGGCCATTGTAGTTCGTTTAACATGGATGTAACACTACTGGTGTTGTGGTAGTTGTTACCGGTACATACATAACGGGCTGCACGCCTCTGTACCATTTTTAGCTGATTTTTATATTCTGCTGTGTGCGGATCCTATAAACTACAGGCATATTCAAGTTTTGGTCTCACTATGGATTGGTATGCACGGGATTTGATATTGGTGTTTGATACTTTTAAGTTTCTCCTCAGAAAGCCAAGAGATTTATTTGCATTTGATATGATGTTGTCGTAGTGATTGTTCCATTTTAAGTTAGACTGTAAGGTTACGCCGAGATATTTTGCTGATGTTACTGGTTTTTTAATAATTGATCTGCTAGAAAAAGAAAAAAAGGACGAAATCCATATTTGTAGTTTAAAAATATGTATTACTTATATTGCTTTTAAAATATCAATTGATAAATATTTTCTAATTGTTACTTACCAGTAGTAAGTCAATTCTCAAAATATGAGGCAGGTTCTAACTGATGAGCTTCATAAAGTTATTGATTTTAACAAGTGTATATGCATGTTTGTTTTTCTTGTCAGATGCAATGTACAATGACTGGTCAGGTATTGACATTGTGACCCATTGCTTCAATCCAATTTTGGTCCCATACATCATTTGTACATTGTATAGATATATATGAATATATGATTTGACAACAGAATGACTGAAAAGAAAGGATCATATATTTATTTAAGTTCATCTTTTATAATTTTTGCATTCTCACATTTGATTGTGTGACAGGAAGTTTTATCACCACTGTATGGTTGACATGGTTGAAAAATTTCAAAATCATGCTAAACAGATCCAAATCTATCCATCTACAATTTCAGGATTAAGCTTATTATAAAAAAAATTGCTACACATGAAGATCATTTTTTTTAGCTGAAACATGAATAAAAAAATTAAACAATTCTATAACCAGATTTACTGTTTATGTTGTTTTGTACTACATGTATTATGCAATTTGCATGATTAATTTACACAAAGGAATGTGTGCCTAATTTTTCAGGCGTTAGTTTTCTCATATATAAAAATATGGTTTGATCAAAATTAAATGGTTTATGCATAATGATGATAATAAACACACAACTTAATCTACGACCCACAAGCAATTTGGACACATCGAATACCCCAAAATGCATGTGGAAAAGTTCCTTCAAGTTATTTAAACTTGATGTTACTATTATTATCATTATTCTAATAATTTTTTTTAATTCTTCTTTGTAGACTGTGCAGATAACAACAGAGTATAAAGCCAGGGTTCTCAGTTGTCACCCTGATAAACATCCTGGAGATGAATCTAAAGGTAACGATCCTTGAAATGAAATATATAGAGGTCAAGATATATCAGCACATTTTCAACATGCCTCTTTATTTCAGCCAACCCATGTTATGTCAAACTGTGATGTGGAAAATTAAACCTGAATATGTCGGGGTGTTTTTCTCTGTCCATTTAAATTTCTTATTTGAATATTAGCTAAATCTTGGATAATGCAAGTAATCATTATTTTATTATTTGCCTAAATGAACCATACAAGGCTACAAGCATCATTTGTTTTGAAGTGATTCATACCTTGGTTTTTTGCTTGATTGACATTATTTCCAAGAAAATAGTGTGTAGAAAACCAGATAATCTATAAAGATGTTCTGTCAAGCTCTGTAGGAAAAAAACAGCCTTGTGACATTGAAAAGGTTGAACTTTGATGGTGTCATGTTCAATTTAAAGTTTACAAGTTTTAACCTAAGATATCAAGGTAAGCTTAAAAACATAAAAACAATGGGTCAGGTTAATAAGAAGAATAAGATTTTCTGAAAATAGAAATATTGGAGCTTGTCAAGACATAAACCTTTTTAATTTCTTAGATATAAAGCTCATTTGCTAATAAAAGCTTCACACTGTGATAATGATACACATGTACGATACTGTTTTCAGATAAACAGTTTAGACTATTACAAAAAGCAAAGGATGTCTTGTGTGATGAGGAGAAAAGAAAACGTTATGACCAATGGAAAAATGCAGGAATCTCGATGTCATTCAGCCAGTGGTGTTCATTACGTGATACTGTACACACTGTAAGCTTTTATGCCCTGTCTTCCAGATTTTTACATTATTCAAATGAAGTAGTTATAATAAAGATGGATCATTGATGTTTAGTAAAATCTGTTGCGTTAGTTGCAAGGTATTTTGTAGATTGATATATACCTTGAATACAAAATGTACTATGTAGCCCTTGCAAGCTACTGTAGTTCATCAAATTGTTGTTTTATTTTGCTGAAGTGTGCATGTTGATGTGAAGTTTTCATATGTTAACACTTTATATAACATATTACATAAATGCTTATTTTTCTCACATATACAAATATGGTTTGATTAAAATCAAATGGTTTATGCATAATGATGATAATAAACACACAACTTAATCTACGACCCTCAACCAATTTTTACACATTGAAATGCCCCAAAATGCATGTGGAAAAGTTCCTTCAAGTTATTTAAACTTAATGTTACTATTATCATTAACCTCTCCTTTAATTATATTGGATAAATGGTTTTGTCCATATGATGCATTTGGCAAGTTAAATAATTTCTTTTTTTTATAGGTTTTTAATTAGTGTAAGTGGGCCTTTGGTGACATTGTGACCTCTTGCTTCAATCCAATTTTGGTCTCATACATCATTTGTACATTGTATATGCCTTTGGTATTTTATACAAGGACCTTTTTAAAGTGTTTTTCAGGGGACAAATTATGGTTTATTTCTAATCTTCTGTTAGAAATGTATATGATATGCCAATTAAATTCAATTGAACATTTGTTGAATAGTAAAATAGTGTTATATGATTATTTTCAGTCCATGCACTGGGGTTCTGTAAAAACTAAACCAATGATAGAGCATGATAAACCAGAGACAACACAACACAACTTCAGAAAATCTGGTAAATACATCTCATTTTGAGATATAATTAGAATCTAAAAAATAATGATTGGATAGGTCACACATAACTTAAAGAGAGTAGCAAAAAATTCATGATAATTATAATACATTTTTAAATGAAAAAAAAAAACAAACCCTAATGACGGATCCATTACTATGTTTATTTACAGACATATGTAATTACCCTCATGTTTTTTAAGTAACATGTACCATGGTTCATTATCATAAGTGAAAACATCTTACTCCAGAATAAGTGTTAATGGTATTAAAAAATATTTTCAGATATTCTAATGGACTTCATAAATGAAAAAAAAAACATCAATTATAAACATAAAAATGGTATTTCAATGACTAATGATCTTGATCTTAATAAAGTATATGTATTTTATTTCAGATTTTGACCATGTTACAATAAGCAATCATCAAGATTGGAATAGAGATGAACCTTCAGAAATGTTGAGGAAATTCAGGAACTATCAAATATGAAATGATATATCGTATTATTTAATTCACATTTGAAAGTTTGATTGGGCTGATAATCATGTAAACATTCCAGTATTATTTCAGTTACTATGTTTGTAACGCAAAAAAAATAAATGTTTCAATGAAGCTATGGAGTAACACTTGCAACTGTGTTTGTGCATGACTTGTCAGAAATTTAAGTTCATCTTCTTAGACATGCAGAACTAGAAATATGCAAAGAGGTTACAGATTTTCATAATTTAACTTTTGTAAAGTGTTTTGAAAGGGAAACTTGTGTGGATACTTTATTGCCCAAAGGATTTTTCAGAGAAAACCCAAGGGTAATATGCATTTCTACCCATCTCATGTCTGTGTGCCAATATGTCCCTCCATCTATAACAGTTTTCTTGTTACTGGATTTTGCCTTTTATTTATTATTTTATTGGTGTGATTCTTGTTTAGAATGATTGCATTCAATCTGTTGATAACATTAGATTTTAGGTAAGGGTCACTTATGATAGAAGCATGATTTATACAATGCTAAATGGTCTTGTGAAGTATTTTCCTCTATTGTTCCTTGTTCAGGTTTTTTTATTCCCCCACCGTAGCGGAGGGGGCATTAAGTTTTACCTTTGTCCGTCTGTACGTACATCCGTACGTCCCAAGATTGGTTTCTGTTCTCTAACTTGAGTTTGCCTCAACCAAATGTCATGAAACTTATACACAATGCTTAATACCACAAAACACAGATCAAGTTTGAATTTTGGTGGCGTCACTTTAACCGCTCTAGAGTTATGCTCCTTTATAAATGGAAAAATTGCAAAATTTTTAGGTCTGGTTCTCTTACTTAAGTTTGCCTTAACCAAATGTTATGAAACTTATACACAATGCTTATTATCACAAAATACATATCAAGTTTGAATTTTGGTGGGGTCACTTTAACCATTCACGAGTTTTGCCCCTTTATAAATAGAAAGCAATTGAAAATTGTTAGTTTCCGTTCTCTAACTTAAGTTAGCCTCAACCAAATGTTATGAAACTTATACACAATGCTTTTTACCACAAACTACAGATCAAGTTGAATTTTGGTGGCGCCACTTTAATCATTATCGAGTTATGCCCCTTTGAAAATAGAAAAATTGCATAACTTTTAGTTTCCGTTCTGTAACTTAAGTTTGTCCCAACCAAACATTATGAGACCTATACACAATACTTATTACCACAAAACTCAGATCAAGTACAAATTTGGGTAGCATCACTTTTATCATTCTTGAGTTATAATGTTGTATGCAAGTGGGGGCATCATCTGTGTCCATGGGGACACATTCTCCATTTATTTTGTTGAATTCACTTTAATAGTTTTTTATGAGATTTTGGAGTTTTGAATATTGGTTAGGATAGTTTTTTTTTAGATTGGATTTGGATTAGATGAAATTGAAAGGAAGGCTTGTGGTCTAACACAGTTTGACAGTTTTCTCCCCACATAGCATCCTGGTAATCTGGGAATTTTGAAATATTATTTTGTGTCTTTATAGCATTACATCCATAACAATCTATAAGAAAGTCATTTCAGGTACATTTCTTTAGCACTATTCAAACAATATAGCATCACATTAACATGATTCTAAAAATCCTGGAGGGAGAACACTGGGTATTATTAGTTTTTTTTTAATTTCTGTTTTTCATATTGTTTACTTCTTGGTTTTGGCATTTTTTAACTACCATATAGGAAAAATGTGTAGGATAGCAGCACCAGTGGAAAAGTTTTACAATTTTAAATTTTGTACAAGGGTTCCTAATATGAAAGTAGTATGGTGACTATGGGGATAATATATTATCATGCTCTCTTGTCTAGTCAACTTTAGCAATGGTCATGACACTCTAGTTTTTCTATAAGTTTATAGAATGTTATATGCATTAAGATCTGTAATTAATTTTGTTATTTATGTTTTTTTTTATTACCTGACAATGATATTTAATTGTTCCTTTAAAAATTTGTAGTCAGCATCATGCCATTGTTGTATTTTTTGGTTTCAGTAGCCAGATCTCTTCATTATAAAACTAATGTATTAAATAAAGAGATGTGTTATGATTGCAAACAAGTATCCACCAGATACACAATGACATAGATGATAGCTGCTATAGGTTGCTGTATGGAGTTCAATAATGAACAAAACTCATACCACATAGCAAGCTAAAAAAGATGCCAAACCTAGGACAAATTTTGAAATGGAGTTTGGAACAATTGAACACATGTTTGATTACGCTATTAACTTATTTAATATTTTTTGTTCCAGATTTATGGCCCCTTATGCAGATAATTTGAAATTTTAATTTCTATGAAATAAGATATTTCAGAATTGTCCAATTTGCTTAATTTTTGTCGAGCCTGCGACTTTTGTCGCAAAAGCAAGACATAGCGATCCTACATTCCGTCGTCGATGTCGTAGTCATCGGCTGCGTCCACAAATATTCACTCTGTGGTTAAAGTTTTTAAAATTTTAATAACTTTCTTAAACTATCCTGGATTTGTACCAAACTTGGACAGAAGCTTGTTTATGATTAAAAGCTAGTATCTAGAAGGAAATTTTGTAAAAATTTATTTCCCTTTTTTCCATATATTACTTATAAATGGACTTAGTTTTTCTTCCAGTTAACATTACATACAGTCTGCAGTTAAAGTTTTTAAAACATTTATTAGATTCATAAACCATCCTGGATTTTTACCAAACTTGGATAAAGCTTCTTACAATCAAAAGATAGTATCTAGAGGAAAATTATTAATATTTTTTCCCCATTTTTGTTGAGCCTGCGACTAACAGCAAAAGTAGGCGAGACACTGGGTTACGCTGAACCCTTATGAATTTTTTTTCAACAAATCGAAGAAATGAATTTTAGAAAAGATTTGTTTAAGCAAAGCATACTCTTCTTACATTTAATGTTATGAGCTTAAATCAGGTGTTAGTTTTCTAATTTGATTTTTTCCCAATTTTCTTATCCCATGGTCATTAATAGCTTACTATACGGTTTTTCTCATTGTTGAAGGCTTATAGTGTCCTGTAGTTGTTTACTTTCTTGTCCGTTTTGTCTTTGCTGGATTGATGTATCATTGTCAGTCATACAACATTTTTTTATTTTCATGGTATTTGTTATTTTTTATTTAAAAAGATTTATGTACTCGTATTCAAATGTTGAAAAATATATTGTTATACAGTTAATCATTAAACTCAATTTCAAATTGAAATTTAGATAAAAAGTTGTTTGTTCACTGATTATTGGAGTTATTGTCCTTAATGATTATTTTTTAAAATTTTTAGTCATTAAAACCTAGGGATAGTGATCCGGCAGTGGCGGCAGCGTTAACAAACTTCTTAAAAGTTTTAAATATTTTTGGATCCTTCATACTTTGTATATACATGTAGATGCCTTAATTTATGATGTTTCCGTCTGTCATATGTCCATTGTCCTTGACCTTATCTTCATGGTTCAGTGACTACTTGAAAAAAAAAGTTAAGATTTTTAGTATTCTTAATTTCTCTCTTATTATGAGTAATAGGATAACTATATTTGGTATGTGTGTACCTTGCAAGGTCCTCATGCCCGTCAGACAGTTTTCACCTGACTTCAACCTCATTTCATGGATCAGTGAACAAGGTTAAGTTTTCGTGGTCAAGTCCATATCTCAGATACTATAAGCAATAGGTCTACTATATTTGGTGTATGGAATGAAGGTGCACATGTTCAACTGGCAGGTGTCATGTGACCTTGACCTCATTTTCATTGTTCAGTGGTTAAAGTTAAGTTTTTGTGTTTTGGTCTGTTTTTCTAATAATTTATGCAATAGGTCAACTATATTTGGTGTATGAAAATATTTTACATGTACATGTCAGTCTGGCAGGTTTTATTTGACCGTGACCTCATTTGACGGTTCATTGCTCAATGTTACGTTTATGTGTTTTGGTCTGTTTTTCTTAAACTATGAGCAATAGCTTAACTATATTTGGTGTATGGAATGATTGTAAGGTGTATATGTCTGTCTGGCAGTTATCATCTGACCTTGACCTCATTTTCATGGTTCATTGGTCAATGTTAAGTTTTCCTGGTTAAGTTTGTTTCTTACACACTATATGCAATAAGTCAACTATATTAAAAGCATGTAATGATTGTAAGGTGTACATGTCTGTCTGGCAGGTTTCATCTGACCTTGACCTGATTTTCATGGTTCATGATCAATATTAAATTTTCCTGGTTAAGTTTGTTTCTTAGATACTTACTATGTGCAATAGGTCAACTATATTTAATTGATATTTGGTGTATGGAATGATTGTAAGGTGTACATGTATTTCTATTTTGGACTATCTGACCTTGACCTCATTTTCTTGGATCATGTTAAGTTTATGTGATAGTTGTAGTAAAGCTTTATATTATGACTATCAACTTAAAACCAATGGTCAATAAAGAAGGCGAGACATTTCAGCGAGAAATCATCAGCCAAAAGACATCTTGAGGGCAGCATACAGTCTTCAACAAAATGATAGGTGCTCATTCAATATGACAAGCTCTAAGGGAGCTACCATTTGATTTTTTTTGGGGGGAAGGGGGGGGGGGGGCTTGGATGAAATATTTGTCCTGCCTTTTTATTTTTCACTCTATTCAGTCCTGCCTTTTTTTTTTATTAGTTTATCCTGACTTTTTTTACATAAATTGTCATCCTGCCTTTTTTTTGCCAAGTTGCTCATCCTGCCTATTTTTTCTACTCAAAACTCCTGTCCTGCCTTTTTTTTCAAATTTCATCCTAAAAATCTTTCACTCTGAAACTAATGGGACAAATGTTCCCAAGCTTTATGTGAATGTTCCTTAGGGGATAAAGTTTTTCAAATTGTAATCAGACCTATCAACAAACATGTTTACTGTTCTTAAAACAGAACTTATAGTAGTCTCAGAACATGTATAGGGATTAAAGTACAGTTGTTGGTTTATAGCTTAAAAAAAGCTAGAGCAGTAAGAACAAAACTGTCAAGGTAAAAGTGCTCAGCAGGTCAAGGTCATTCTATGGAATTTGTAAAAAAAAACCAAGACAACCCATTTTGGAGTAATCACCCCTAAAATGTCAGTTTTTAAAAATTTTGGTTTTTGGTTATATTAAAAATTTTGACAAATAGAGATAAACTTTAAATTAGTAAAAAGGATCTGAACAATTAGATGTGCAAATAAGCCAACATGGTCGAATTTCGCCGTTTCAGAATCTAATGCATTCTGGGCAATATTTTCAAAAGAGTACACTAAAGCGTCGTGATTGGTTAAAAACTTCATTTTGGGGTACGAACAATAAAATTACGCTTCTTCTTCTTCTTAATCAGCAAAGGAAAATTCCAGCACGCTTATGCTGTGTCATCAAGTGCATGTGCTGTACAAAGTGTGATCAACGGAAAATTGACAAAAATCTATGTACTAGTTAAAATGTGGTTGGTTCAGGTTAAAACAGATAATTTTTTACAGCATCAGTGTCCCTGGTCTCATGATGGAAGTGTGACCAGAAGTTTTCCTTAAAGGTGTCCGAGTCTGTGTCTGTTACGATGATTCCTGGAAGTTGGTTCCAGTCTTTAATTGTTCTTGGATAGAAGCTGTGTTCATATTCAGAGGTGTTGCACTGTGGTTGCATGATATTGACTGAGTGACTATGTCGCATTTTTCGGTTGTTAACAAGATAGTATTGTGGAATTTCGGTTGCTACTTGGTGGTATATATAGTATCTTCTGAAATAGGATGAGGCGACTTACTGTTCTTCTGGGAGTAAGTGTTGGCCATTTCAAAGAGTGTAAGATTGTTGTTATTGAGCCAGGTAGGTAATTGTAGTTGTTGGTTACAAATCTTGCCGCTCTGTGTTGAATCCCTTCTACCCTTTTGATGTCTTTCTTCCAATGAGGTCCCATACTGAACTGCTGTATTCTAGTTGTGGTCTAACAAGGGCAATATAAGCATGTTGTTTGATATCTGGTGAGCATCGATACAAATTTCTTCTAACAAAATTAAGTTGTGATGCTTTATTTATCTTGGATGTAAAGTGGTGGTTCCAATTGAGCTTGCTGTCCAGCTCCACTCCTTAGTATGAGTTATGTTCTTTAACTTCAAGTTTTGTTCCATGTAAGAAGTATGGTCTTTCAATTCTTTTACGGATATTATGGGTTACTTGAAGAACATATCATTTCTTTGGATTGAATGACATTTCGAAATTAATATACCACCTTTCTAAGCCAGCTAAGTCTTTCTGTAGAATTTCTGTGTCGTTTTGGGATTTGATGCTACACTACACTCTTCTGAGAAGAGCCTTATACTAGCTGATACCAGTTGTTAATTCATCTCCTCTGTCATAAATGACAAGAGAAATAATGGGCCTAGAACAGTGCCTTGAGAAACTCCTGATCGTACTGCTGCAGGTTGTGATATGCACCCATCAAGAAGGACGGTCTGTTTTCTATTTTGGAGCCAGTTTTCTATCCAATTGACTGTTAACTTGTCAATTCAATTATGTTTTAGTTTGTGTACTAGGTGGCGGTGAGGCACGGTGTCAAATGCCTTACTGAAATCCAATATTAGTATATCTGCTTGGCTTTTCTGATCTCTTATTTTCGCTAGGTCTTCAACAGTGTTTATGAGTTGTTGTTCTTTCTGAATCCATACTGGTATGATGACAGGAGTTTATTTCCATCTAGATAGTCTATGATTCTACTAAAGATGATGTGCTCCATAATTTTGCATGGGACAGACGTAAGGGAAACAGGTCGGTATTTTGCTGGGTCTGTTTTATTTTTGTATATTATCTCCAAGTAAGGAGCAATATGTTCTGCTGCTTCTTTCAGGACTCCACATGGTATCAGATCTTGTTAGGGTTGATGTTTTTCAGCTGTTTGACAATTCCTGGTTTTGTCATATTTATAAGCTTCATACTTTTTTCAGTTGGTTTAGATTTCTTTGGTAGCCTAAATTCTATGTCTATGTAGTATCTTATATCTATGTACTGGTTAAAATCAATATCCGAGAATGCAGATGTGTACTGCTGATTCATGATGCTAGCTTTTTCTTCCGTATGTATGATTTTTTTACCATCCTTTTTAAGCATACTAATGTTGCAACTGTCTTTTTTCATACCTTTTATATAAGACCAAAACTTCTTTGTTGTTGTTAATATTTGTTCTGCATTTGTCTGTATGGGATTTTGGCGGTTCTTCTGGTGTGAGGATATCTTTAACATATTTGTCGTGATCGTTCTAAAGTTGTTCTTTCACTTTTTGTCTGCAAAGTTTAAAATCTATCCAGTGTTGTTTTTGTTTGACTTTTTATACGACCGCAAAAAAAATTTTGTGGTCGTATATTGGTATGACGTTGGCGTCGTCGTCGTCGTCGTCGTCGTCCGGCGTCGTCGTCCGAAGACACATTAGTTTTCGCACTCTAACTTTAGTTAAAATGAATGGATCTCAATGAAATTTTACCATAAGGTTCAATACTACAAAAGGAAGGTGGGGATTGATTTTGGGGGTTATGGTACCAACAGTTAAGGAATTCGGGGCCAAAAAGGGGCCAAAAATAAGCATTTTTGTAACTTCCAGTTATAACTTGTGTGTAAGTGTATGGATCTCTCTGACATTGTTCCACAAGGTTCCATATCACAAAGGGAATGCTGGGGTTTGATTTTGGGGGTAATTGCCTCCAAATTTTAGGAATTATAGGGGCCAAAAAGGGGCAAAAAACAAGCATTTTTCTAGTTTCATGACAATAACTTGTGTGTAAGTGTATGGATCTCTCTGACATTGTATCGCAAGGTTCCATATCACACAGGGAATGCTGGGATTGATTTTGGGGTTAATTACCTCCAAATTTTAGGAATCAGGGGCCAAAAAGGGGCAAATTACAAGCATTTTTCTAGTTTCATGACAATAACTTGTGTGTAAGTGTATGGATCTTTATGAAATTGTATCACAAGGTTCCATATCACAAAGGGAATGCTGGGATTTATTTTGGGGGTAATTGCCTCCAAATTTTAGGAATTAGGGGCCAAAAAGGGGCAAAAAACAAGCATTTTTCTGGTTTCCAGACAATAACTTGTGTTTAAGTGTATGGATCTCTCTGAAATTGTACTGCAAGGTACCATACTCAAAAGGAAGGCTGGGATTGATTTTGGGGGTAATTCCTTAAAAATTTTAGGAATTAGGGGCCATTAAAGGGCAAAAAAAAAACAAGCATTTTTCTAGTTTCAGGACAATAACTTGTGTGTA